CTTGAGCCCAGGAGTTGGAGTTTGCTGTGAGCTGTGATGCCATGGCACTCTACCCAGGGGGACAGCTTGAGGCTCTGTCTCAAAAAAAAAAAAAATATATATTATACTTGATATATACCAATAATATTTGTTTTCTTGTATGTTGGATCTTGTTATCTCTCATAATTGCAGAAGTCAAATGTGACTGGAATATTACAATTTTAATACAGTTTTTTTCCTTTCTTAAAATGTGTATACATTTTTTGGTACCTTCTGTATGTGTATTTATGTGTGCTGAACTGTACATAATTCTCTTTACAGAGTAGGCCTTTATTAGTTTTAAGATATTGTTGTTTCCTTCTTATAATTTTACGTGACTGAATGTGTGGCACATACACTGTTACAAAGACAAGATCATAATAAACAGTAGGAGGAATGTGGTGGTGAACACAGGCCGGAGTAACGCAGGATCTTGGAGGAAACTGACATCCACTCAATTCTCTCTCACAGCTGTTAACATATTTCCCACTCTGTTTACTTCCCATAGTATCTACTTCACATATATTTCACATAGAGAGGTAGAAAATATATGCGTTTTAGAGTCCAACAGAGGACTATTCAATATTTTTTCTGCCTTCATGGGCAAACGATTCATTTCCCCAACTGTCAATTTCAACATTTTTGTCTATGGAGACAATGGAGCACCACTTTAAATGTGATTGTCTGTGCACAGAGACGACACCGTGGTGTCTAATGCATTCCAGCGTGACATAGTCAATAACCGAACTACAGTGAAGCTGCAATATGACAAATTCTTTCTGAATTGAAAGCAACCACAAATACAGTTAAAATTGCTTGATTAAGCAAATTTAGGGTCCTTTTTTTGCAATAGGAAAAATATACAACAAAAGTCTTCTTTGGTTTTTCTGAAACTCCTTACTTTGCAGCCCTTTAAAGAAAACAACTAGGTCCATTAATAAGTTTGGAGTTTTTGTCATCATTCAGATGGATTCCTTATTTTAATTTCTGACATTTACAGGTGTTTATATGTAATGATCATCTGAATATTTATTTCTCAAGTTTTACCACTCCCTCAAGAGAGAGTACTTTCCTTTTGAACAATAGATTCCTAATCTGTCATTTCAACTGTTTCGGTTTATTTGGTCGGTGCTCTGAGGCACTATCTATATCCAGTATCCGTTTGGGTATCTGTCACCCTGTATATAAGGTTTTAGTCTAGTTGGGTGGTAACTTCCTTGGAACTGT